TTCTTTTAATCCTCATGACCCCTTAGGAGTATTTTAAACTTCGTTTACACATGAATAAATTTCTCCAGTTTACTGGAGCAGAGAGCAAGGATGTGTATCAGGATCTGATGCCCTTGTGAATCTCACACACCAAATAATTCTATGACAATGAGGAAAAATACAAGAGATGAATTCATCCATGAAGGATCTTAGTGTTCTACTTCAGACAGTCTTTATCCTACTTCCCCTACTTTCAAGATCAGTTCCTCACTGTCATTATGACTTCCAGTCTCTCAAACCCTCCTCTTACATTAATCATGAGATGGTTTCACTCACTGCCCTGTTCAGCATCTCGACACTTTGGTCAAATGTTTTCATATTCTCTGATGCACCAGAATTTGCACTCCTGTGTCCTTTCCATTGCTAACCTGGTGATCAAGGCTGTTGACGGTGCGCACTGTAGGACTGTTCTTTGACTGCTCAACACTGACGCATACAGCCGTGATAACAATGCCTGCTGTAAATTTGTGCTGTCTAATCTCAGCAGGGGCTTCTCAGCTGCTCTACAATTCTAATTTTCAGGGTTGGTTAATTTCCTATCACATTCTCCAAGTGGCTTTTTCTAATGATGTACAGCCTCTCTAAGGCCTTAACTCCTTTCTCTTCAGCATACATGTGGTCTCCTATGCAGGAAGATAATACGAACTCCTAGACCCACTTAGACCCTCATACTGCTCCCCTTTTCATCCTCACCTGTCATTTTGCCTCTACTTCTTGCTCAATGAAAAACTCTATTTCTCTCCTGTATATCCTTCCACTTATGAAAAGATACTTCTAGCCCATACTCCCTTACCTTCTCAAGAAGCTTCCTTTAATGACAAGGTTTTTGCTGGCCTGACAGTTGTTTTTAAATATCTGCCTTTTTGTGACATCTTTGTCTTGCTTATGAACAAGGTCAGGTTTTCCCTGCTAAAAACTGTCACCTGCTCTGCTAGATTTCTCAAAAAGAGAGACCATATCTCCTCATTCATTTACTTGAGCACTAAGTTCTCACCCCCTATCATTACCTTTCAACAGAGCTTCCCCAACATGTATTCTAATCATTTTTTGGTTTACTAAAGTGGATCTAACAGTGAGTGCCAAGCTCTGAAACATGATAATTACTTTTGAGTCAAGATTAACATCCAAATGAAACTATCACAAATATAGCAAATATAGCACAAATATAGTCTGTGATTCCTGTGCTTAACGATAATTTAGTTGGAGAGTAGTTTAAAGAAATGTAGGTGGGAAAGAGGGGAGAGATCAGAAAGATTTGCCAAAAAAAAAAAGCGGGGAAAAATGTTGTGGAAACTGGGAGGAGAGTTGACACGCTTGTATTCGAAATGCTATTGAAGGTTACAGAGCTTACTGCCTATAGCAGTCATGAGCACCCGTGACTTGGTGCAGAAACAAAGTCATCCTGAGATTTCAGAGTCCATCCTCAGATGGTAGACTGAGTCTCCCATCCATCCTGAGTCACCACAGTGGAACAGATACCTAAAACCCAACTCCAGTTTCTCCCTCTTAAGTCATACTATCTAATACTATCTAATTGTATTTGCAAGCACAAGATCTGAGAAAATGTGAAGAAATGATGAATGAGTAAATAATAATAAAAAAATGTTCAAATGTACAAATAGCCACTAAGCCTGCCACAGAGTTGGAAGGAGGAGAGGACTAGTTAGCAATAACAAAAAAAGAAAAAGCTCATGCAGGAAACAATACGTTAGTCAACCAAAGCCAAAAGACCTTGTTAAAGGAAGGCTGAGGAGCAGTGGAGATCATTTTAAGATCCAATATGCCAAAACTAGTCCATTTTTTTAACATTCAAACTTAAAGGGATTTCAGCATATGTGTGTACACACACACGAAAATTTTTCAGAATTTTATTTGCTAAAAGGCGTTTTGTGGTCTGATTATCACAAAGTTAGAAGTTTATGGAAGTACGAGTTCATTCAAGTTTTCAATGGTAAAGATCTCTACATATGCTGATTCAGTTGCAAGCAGCTGGTTAAAATACCAAAGGACAAGAAAATCTGTTTCTATCACGAAGTGACAGATACCTATGTAGATCACCAGTTATTTCACAAAATCGGTCCATTCCCAAGCCTCAATTTCCCAAAACATGAAAATCATCAAAATTATGAATACTTTACAATGCAATTCTATTCCTAAAATAATTTTCTGTGCAATTACGCTGCCAGAAAAGGCATGATTAGCTTTACTGGGTTTTCATTTGTATTCTAGCAATTGTGGTTTGTGTGAAGTGTATCAGTTTAAGAAGTGTTTAATTCTTCCACCATGCCATTGTTGTGTTATTTTTTTATTTCTGGTAGATATTTGATGTTGATATTTAGCTCTTAAGTTCATTTTGAACAGTGGTTTGAAAAAGACTTCTGAAGTTCAATGTAAACTGGATGATTTAGAGAATAAGTGAAAAAATGCTAACATCGTGTCACATGAATCTTGTGAAGTGGGAATGTAAATGAACCTCGGTTTTCATTTTCCCCATGGGAAATAACCTTACTTTTATGAACGATGGTATTGTTGCTGGTGCTTCAGATAACAGTTTCAGTATTTTCTTTTTAAAGAAGCTACATGATCTAGGAAGTTGTGCTACAATCAGTAAAAGTGCAAGGTCTCTTGGCACTCATTCATCAGCCAGATGTTAGTTTAAATCTGCTCATGAATACATTGCCTTTAGCATGTCAGTAAGAAGCCAGTGGTACCTGACATCTGTGCCGCATTTAGCACAACTTCTTTTTTTTTTTTATTTTGTAATTTGTTTGGCATAGAACTGGGGTAAAGGCCAGAGGCATGGGATGGGGAGAGGAGAATTCACCAGAGACAGAGTGGGGAACAGAACAGGCAGATTGACTGAAATACACTGCTGAAGGGATCAGCAGGTGAGACAGAAGAGGCCTGCTGTGCCATGTGGGTCAGCTCCCTGGCCGGGGATTAAACTCAGGCCACAACAGTGGACCCATCGTAGTGATAGAGCTGAGACGTAACCCCTACATCACTAGGAGCTTCTGACACACTCTTTTTATAATCGTCAATTAACAAATATGATTAAGTGAATTTTTTTCTTTTTAAAATGAAAACATTTTCCTCCTGTCCCTGCAAACTATTTATGGAGTAGGTTGCAATGTCCGGCCACAGAGGACTTTCATTTTATGGGTGCTTCTCTGTGGAACCTAGCCTTCAATTTTTAATATTATTTGTGAAGTTTGGAGTGTTGTCACTTTTGTTTTCATTCTTGTTGACAATATTTATTCATTGTCTTTAACTCATAATCTTCATGTTTTAGACAGGGGTTAACAAACATTTTCTATAAAATATCAGATAGTAAAGATTGACCTTGCAACCATGTGCCATCTGCAGCAACTCTCAATTCTGTAGTTATTCTGCAAAGATAGTTCTACACAAAACATAAATATATGTGCATGGGTGTGTTTCGACAAAAGTCTTTTGCAAAACTATGCAACAGGAAGAATGCAATCATAGTTTGCTGCCTGCTGATCTCAGGAAGTATCTTTTCATGAAGTAGGAACATGAGAGGTACAAGTACTTAAGAAATATCAATATTTTGGTCTATATAATTCATTAGGTTTCAATGACTCCAAAAATACATGTTACGACAAAAGGAAGTGTTCTAGAAACCCTGCTTTGCTTTCACTGGTTACTTCTATCGTGTCCTTAGTGTTGACTGACAATTCCTTTTGCAAACATCACCTGTGGATCACACAACCTCACTGTTGGCAACAGCTGTGACATAGTATCCTGAGCCCTGATCCTTAAGACCTATATGTTTGGGAAAAAGAAAAATTTTAGCCTTTCGTATTAAAAAGTAAGCTCTGGGCTACTGACTACATGAGGTTTTTACATATGTGACTATTTCCAGGACCGCTGGAAGGGGGCGTTGGGAGGGCAGTTGGCTGTGATTTTGAACTTTCCTCTTCCCATAACTCACACCCAGGGACTTTGGGAATCAGTGTTCTTTCTGGCTTACTTTATTTTTACTTAAGAAAAAGAGATTCAAAATACTTGTGTACTGTGTCATACTTCTTTTATTTTGAGGGGGAGCGTTGGGTTTCAATTCCTGTATCTTATTGCAGTAACAATCTGAGAAACCATTTCATTTCCCCAGGGGAGAGAGCTGAGCTAGATAAATATATATTTAAAACCTACTCTTTAAAACTCATGTTCTTGGAGAATAGAGCATGTAGACCAAAAAGGAAAGAATTTATATATTTGTCCAAACTGCCATTGTGACTCAGCTCCAAAGAGTGGCTGTTCAGATATTTTTTTAATATTCCATTCATATTTCTAACAAATTTCAAACCACTATTTCAAATTACTTTATTAATAATTTCTAACAACTTGTTAACTTGGAAGAATTATTAAAGTGCTGAGTCTTGGCTTCCCAATTTTGAGGTGTAGAAACCTACCCAATGATGAAAATAAATTAATTTTTCATATGAAGATGAGAATAATGAAAATGATACAGATTGTGAATCTATGATACTAGAATTCATAGTAATTCAGTAAACTAATTGAACCTGATTTTCTTGGAACATGTTTAAAATTGCACTTTAAAACATCAACCAGTAGGATTTACATTACTTGAAATTTCTAATATTCTTGAAACTTTCAACAAAAATAATTATTGACATTTTAAGTTCATTTGTTGGAGCCAAAGACAGGGGCATCATTTTAGGGAAATCATTATAATATTTCAAACTCAGACTGACAGCATTAACTTTATTCTTGGTAACACAATAAAAATTTTCAGAAAATTTCCACATTGATAGAATGCCATATGCACTCCATGATACACCACAGCTCTGTACAACTTATAATTAAGATAAGACAATGAGGTTATCAGATTACGACACCCCTTAGACCACGGTAAGTCGTAACTCCCTGGGAGGCATGTTACTGGGGGATCTCATCCTGCCTGCTGTGTCTTTCCCCAGGATCTGTCACTGTGAAGGGGATGAAGAGAGTCCCCTGATCACACCCTGTCGCTGCACGGGCACCCTGCGCTTTGTCCACCAGTCCTGCCTCCACCAGTGGATCAAGAGCTCAGACACACGTTGCTGTGAGCTCTGCAAGTATGACTTCATCATGGAGACCAAGCTCAAACCTCTGCGGAAGGTGAGTGTCTGCAGGGATTGGTCTGGGAGAGAGAACTTGCAAAACAGGCTTATTCCTAATACCTGTTTCCACCCACAATAAGGTTCTGCTTACCTGTTTCCATCCCTGAAAGCACATAGATGGGTTCAACATGTTTTACACGTTGGGTTCAACATGTAAAATATACCAATGTGTTTTTATTCTGACGACTGACTTTTTTTTTTTTTAAGATTTATTTGTTTATGCATACAGAACTGGGGTACAGGCCAGAGGCTCAGGGGTGGCGAGAGGCTTCATCAGAGACAGTGGGGAGCAGAACAGGCAGATCGACAAAGTACGCTGCTGAGGGGAGCCGCGGGTGGGTCAGGAGAGGTCTGCCGTGCCATGTGGTCACCACTGGGTCAGGGAGGGATCGAACTCATGCTGAAGTGGCTTTATCTTCTCAGTGCTGTGCTTTAACCCACTGCGCCACCAGGGAGGGCCTGGAGACTGACTTTTACAGCACTCTTCCTCATCAAGAAAAGCACGTCTGTGTGTGCCTACTGTGTATATGCAAAATATACTTGTAATTTAATGTAAATGAATGGATGGGACATGTGAGAACATTGTACCATTCTAGAAAATATATTACATAAAATGGTTTCATCTAATTTCTTGAGTCAGGCACTAGGTAAGAAAAGAGAAGGATGTGGTGACATCATTGATGTTCACCTTTGGAGATCTGGTTTGCTAATCCATGTTTAATGAGAATAGGTAGAAATAAAAAGTATTATTTTTCATATTGTGCATCAAGCAGTAAAAGAAAGGTAAGTATATATCAGGCTATGTGTTTAATCTTCAGATTCCTCATTTATGATATATTTTTCTCGAGTGAAGACAAGGCTATAAGTCACATACAGCTAGCATCTCACTAAAATCTAGCAAAGGACAACCTGTAAAGGAGACAGATGAAGACAGTGAACTCTGTATAATTCATGCTTGGTAGCTGGGCTCCTGGATGTTTGCCTATAATTATGTGTCTTTTAGCCGACTGCATCTATGGGTGCCCAATTTCCAAAGGAGACTATGCAATTTAAGTCATGGATATGCCCAGAGCAGCTTTTTCACTTAAATAAAATGCAAAGCAAAAGTGGATAAAAAGAACATTGCCTAGAAATAAACATGATGGGTGCCAGGATGAGTAGAAGAGGAAACAACAAAAGGCATGAGCCATTGCAGTTCTTTGTTAAGTCTCAAAAATAGACAGAGGAAGAATAGTGATGCCTGCTTCTGAAGTAGCCTGGATTTTAAAAATCTGCAAGTGGTTTTTAGATCTCAAAAATATTGCATGGCATGCCATTGGGATATGCATTGCCTTTAAAAAAAAAATAGACAGGTTACCTGAGTGTCAAAGGTGACACTCTGTACCCACAGGTCCCAGAAGAACCAATACCAGAATAGAATGGGCCTTACCATCTTGCCTTTTTCTCTGTGCACGGGACAGATGCTGTGTGCTATCTGAAGGAGCTAAGTCAAACATTGTTCTCTGTGATCCTATACCTTTCTCCTATTATCTATCAAGAGACTATCAATTATTTCATGACATCTGTATATTTCTCCTTTTTTAACCTACATCTATACAAAATTTCTATTTGAACTTTTTAAAATATATTTCAATTCGATAGCAACAATTTAGGATAATACAATATTCAAAATTTTCTCCTTTTTTGCACAGAACTGGGGATTAGGCCAGAGATGCAGAGAATGAGAGGATTCACCCAAGACAGAGCGAGGAACAGAAGGCAGATTTTCTGAAATGCATTGCTGAGGGTAGCAGTTGATGAGACAGCAGAGGTCTGCTGTGCCATGTGGGTCAAATTCAAGCCAGGATCAAATTCAAGCCATAGTGATGACAGTGCTGACATGTTACCCCAAGGCCACAAAGGAGGCCCTCAAATTTTCTCTTTGACAATCAGTGTCCTGAATTTTTTGTATGTTAAACAATATATGATGCTACATGGAAGCTGAAATTCTTTCTTGTTTTAGTGAACCTACAGATTTTACGGACTCACCCCTTACAGATGCAAGTTTTATCTTTTCTTAATGTAATTTTTTAATATGCTTCAATATTTTATACCCAATAATGCTCAACCCTATTTTTCTCAACTAATGTGTTTATAAGCTAGATAAAGGCAACATTAACATCTTTTTTTTTTTTGCTTTCTTAGTAATGAGTTAGTTTCAGCAACCTACTGAGCTCCTATTATCTGTTGATTAAGGAAATGCCTTAGCTTTAAAAAAAATTTCTTTGATCATAAATATTGATGAAGGATAGCTTGTCAACATCCTTATTTTTTGATGGTGCTTATACATCTACAGCGATGGTAGAATCTAACCCAAAAGTTGTTTCCTGATCGTGCACAGATGTGACACACAGGGCTTACAGTTTGAACTTGTTACAACATTTAAATATGTAACTATTTCATATAAGATTCTACACCTTTGCATTTATTTGAAAATCAATCTTTCTGGCTTTACTGGAACCACATCTCCCTAGGATGACAACAAATAGAGTGAATTGTGGCTGACTTCTTAAAAAGCTATTTGCTCTCAAGTTCTCCACTATTTGAAGCCTTCTCTTTCCTTCTGATACTGACACCTCAGCCTTCTCCTCTCTTCTGAGTACTGTGTGGCCCTGGCATAGGGGTCTGAATTTTCAACTACTGTCTAAAATATGAGTCCTGGATAACAGAAATGTGTATTCTGTTTCCTGCCTTTATAATTTATGGACTTGAAAAACCTAGGTAAAATTACTCCAATTTTTCTCTTTCTCCTTTGAAACAATAAAGCATTAGGATAACACTTAAATGATAGTACCTAAAATGACTCACATTCTGAAATAACATAAACTGCAGACATGAGGCATTGTTAAACTGTTCTAGATGGTTTATTTTGATGGCACTAAGATTCATCAACAGTTTTCTTTTGGTAGTTTTAAGTGGTCATTAAGAATGACAGGTATAGCATTTGGCTAGAGTATATTTGAAATATATCCAATTAATTGCTCTCAACTCAGTAATTCCATTACAGTTTATAATGTTCCAAAGATCAACTACATGAAACAATTAATTTAGCTAATCAGTCCAAAAGTCTACCATTAGCCAGTGGATGCAGGAATTCCTGTTTAGAGGAAATGGCTTCCTAAAGTAGAGAGGTACAAATCTTCGTAACCTGATGAAACTTGGGCTTAATAGTCTCCACAGATATTAGTAAAAACTTACTTCATTTATTGCTACTATTACTACGTCTAAATCTAAAGTTAGTAAATTTGTCAAGGTATACTGATGTTTCCAAAATAAAATCTTTAAAATCTGTATAAAATCAGGAACTTATTTAAAGGGGGAATACAATTTTCATCATCTTTAAATCAGTTGCTTACCTACCCCTATAACACATAATAAAATTTGCATTAATCTTCTGAGTTACCTAGGGTCAGAAATAATTCTCAGGCTTCAGAAAAAAAAGAAAAAGAAAAAATATAAAAGTAACAGTAATTATTCAGTATAATTTGAAAGTGCATACAATATCAGTTAGGAACAAGAAATTGACCTACTCTGAAGTTAAAGAAATGCATGGAGCTCACGTGTGAACATGTTATTTTGTGAATCTTTATTAAAGCCCCAGTCTATGTAGGCTTGTGAAACACACACAGATGAGAAAAATGAGACAATATCCAACTCATTCAATGGAACACACCCCCAAACCACCTGATTGGAAAGCTTGTGCTCACTGGCTACTCTGTGTCATGCAGAAGGGATATCTAAGCGTGTTCCCTCTCAACATCAAAATTCTTGTTTTTATTTAAGCCATTTCTAAATGGAAATCTTCAAAACTAAATCTTTCCAAAATAAAAAAAAAATCTTACTTCTTAATTTGACCCAGTACTTATTGTATCATTATATGAGCATCAGTTATTTTGCAGGCTGACAAAATACTAACATCTCAGCAGCTCGAAACACGATCAATGGCAAGAGCTTTTGTGGGCACGGGCATTCGGATATCACTCCGGGATTCTCTCTGGCATCTTTTCTAATTATCAATTTTACTCAAATTTCTTGAGAGTACATGATATGAAAGTCAGCCACAAATGAAATTTTAATGGCTCCAAGCTGTTCTATAATCTCAGAACCTAGTTCTGAGAAGTAGGTTGGTGGTTTGTTTCTTCATAAACACAAAAGCCTGGAGGCATGAAAATCTCTGCCCTAGTTTGCGACCAGACAAAACTTTCTTCATAATTCTTGCCCCAAAAATCAACACTCATAATTTGCAATGCATACTAGTTCTCTTATCTTTTTGCCTCTTTTCAATTATATTATTATATATGAGTCCCACGGCAATCTAAGTCATTTCAAACACTCTTAGAAAATTATTTATTTTTCAAACCTACACTCTGCAAATAAGCAGGGTAAGCTTTCCATTACAAATTTCTCACTGTTCAGTGTTGGGCGATATTGTCTATAGCTCAACATGTATTCTCACTGCCTCCTTCAGTGAAAGGGAGAATCTAACAAGCAGCATCATTGATTGCTGTGGGACGGGAGAAGCAGAGCAAAGCACAAAATTACAGAGAGAAAATCATTAAAACTACTTCACCTAACTTGGAGCATTATCCTTTTTAAGAAAATGTTTGTTCCTAATTCATTTTTGAATTGCTTTTTATTGGCATTATTTTCTTAACACATTCCTGTTCTCAAAACTACAATTGGCATGTCAGTGAAAATAATGTGACATTGTGGAATACTGGGAAAAGCAGATGTGACATGCTTTTTTCTAATAGAAAATATTTGGGATTTAATCCCATGGTCTCATCTTTTTGTCTTTGATTAAATGCTCGGAGGTCAATCAGTCTTCACAATTTCAAAAACAATCTGTTTAATTAGTCGAGATGAGCATTACAGAATATTTTGTTCAAAATAGAAATATTCTTCTCTGGGCATCAGAACAGCTTCTGCTTTTGTGATGTTTCATTCATAAAAGTTGTG